TTAAGGTTATATATATATATATGTATATATTTAACTACTTATTCAAAACATATTTGTTTATTTAGTTGTTTAATTTAGTGGGTCACAATGTTGAGACCAAAACTAATTCACTGAATTCAGAGGGGTCATTGCCTGGACCCGAATGCCACCCACACAAATTATTGCCCGGAATCGTGGTGTGACTTCTTCTTTTTTTTCCGGGTAGTTTGCCGGTCAGGGTAGACGCTTAGGAGCTGGTGTTGTTCTCCTGGTGCTTCATTTTGCCTTTCTGAAAGTGAAGATTGCAGGCAGAGCCTGACTCAGAAGAGGATGAGGACGAGTTGCCGCCTCTTATCAGTCCCTTGACTGGAGCGGGCAATGCTGTTGCTCAATCTCTCGGAAGACTGAGTGTCAAGCTGTTTCTTCAGTTTGCTCAAAGAGCTTGCCTGGTTAGAACTCTTGCTTCCCTTTATACATCCACGCAGGCCCCTTGGAGGAAGCGCACATTTCTGTTGAAACCTTCAGCTTCAGCACATCGTCTGATCTAGATTCGCCTTTTCTGTCTGAGCTTAAGTTGTACCTGGACGTTGATCTACTCGCAAACATGGGACATCACTCATTCTCTTGGGGCAACATCTGGGGCACAGGGGAACACATGTGTTCAATTTCTGTCGTCAACCTTGCAACAGACAATAATTTCGGAGGAGACAGCCCTGGTCTGCTCCGCGACTTTGCCCCTATTTGTACTGATGTATGAGAAACCAGGGTCGAAATGGTTGGTCATGCTGCAAACGCTTCCAAAGCGCTGCTTGGTTTTGCATTCCGGTGCTGAAAACTGAGCAAGAAGAGTTCATACTGGATGGACAAAATCCGTTACACAGCAGTTGGCAATTGTGGTTTATCAACAGGTGCTTCATTCGTCCCAACTGGTGTGGATCGGCATAGACCTGGTCCACGGTTCGAACTTCGCTTTTTCGCCTTTCTCGCAAAAGCGACAGGCCAAGAGCCTTATACCCTCTAAGAATGGTTTCGGTCAGCGGCCCAGGCATTGTGAACAAGTTTGATTGAATTGAGGCAGTACACCATAGGTTATCCAGGTGTCCGTATATATATATATATTCCTTTCTTGGAAGGAGTTCAGCGCTGGTTGACTATTTTGACGTAAGCGTCCTTTTGGTTGGGGTGATATTTAGATGGACACACAAGCACCGGGTCTTGCCGCGGCGTCATACATTGCGATGGTGTTTAGGCCATCCACCATCGGCTTCCCCAAGCCAGTTCATGGCTTACTTCCCGAGTTCTTGGACTTAAAGCGCCGTGGAACCCTCGTGGAACCTTACCTCAGGGTCGCCCCGGACCACCCCGGAGCCAATCTGGGCTGAGACCCCAAAGCTTTCAGCTGTTGGGGAATAAAAAGTTCAGACCATTTTTGGCTGATCCACTCAGGAAGTGAGACAATGCCCTGAGGCAAGCCATTTGCAAGTTTCGGGCTTTTCTAACTTTGGGAAAGCGTAGGTTCCACAAGCTGTTTGGAGATTCCAGCTGCAAGTTGTTGGATGTCCGCCGTCCGCCCGAAGGTAGCGAGGCGCCGGTGCAAGTGCCCAAGCCCGCGCCCGCGCCCGCGAAGCCTGTTGAGGCGCCGAGGGTCACCCAGCGAGGTGCGAAGTGCCCAGGTCCCATGCCGTGGACTCCAGAAAGCACCTCACGCCTGCCGAAACGGCATGAGCTGTTGTTCAGTTGCCCTAAGTTTGCCTGGACCCGAAAGACTCATAAAGATAGGTTGCTGCCCCAAAATCATGGGGATTTTCCTTTTCAAGGGTAGGTGGAGGGTCCAGGTATTTGCTTCCGAGAGAGTCGCTTGGTGCCGCCAGGATGGTCTTGAGAGCTACAAGAGTTCCTTTGGTACTGGTACCTCTTTAGGAGGCACGAAGGGACCCTCCGGGTTTGTTGCAACACGACCCGTGAAATCAGTCTTTTTCAAAAATAACAAGGTTTCGCTCGTTCTTTGCCTGCCAGGCTCCGGCAGCACCGGCGTCAAAGCCCGGCCACTTTGCTTAAGCATCAATTCGGGAGCGAGACGTTGGCCAAGTCGAATTGGTATCCCGTGCGGCCCTTTGTCCCCTTTTTGGGAGGAGTTTCCCTTTGAAATCAAGTACCAACGAACAAAAAGAGCCGCCTTTTTCTCTCCTGGCCACTCTGGGTCCGGGTGAACAAGCCCTCAGAAGGTTCCAAATAGCCAGCTTCGTGGTTGGTCGTGTTTTGGCTTGTCCTTTAAACCTTTTGACCATGACTAGTACCCCGCCTGTGCGTGTACACCATCAACTTTGTGGTCCCCTGTAGTCCAGGGCCCCGACAGGGTCCCTAAAGGGTCAGACAATGTGCTGGTCCGGTCCACATTTAGTGCCACAAGCCGCTCAGGTACCAAGGAACCCTCTCGGATTTGGTCAGACGTAGGACATGATTGCCTTCCTCTTGGCTAAGCGAAACGACTGTGACAGGCTTCAAAAGAACGAAGCAAGCAACTATTTGGGGCGAAAACTATGAGGAGGAGCAAGAGTTTTTCCGGCTTGCGCAGACCCTTTTATTGGATCCCATTTCTCCTGCCCGACTGCCAAAATGAACATATGCGGACCCCAGGATCCTAAAGCGGGGCTCCGATTTGTGCGCTTTCACTTTGCTCGATGTCTCTTATATAGGGTATCAGTATGCAGTGTTTACAAGCTTCTAAGTTGACCAATTCATGTGGATTCCCCATTTCCACTTCTGAATTATAGCTGCCTTAAGAGTTTCTCAGGTTATCGCTATAACTTGGTCAAAGTCCAATAGACAACTCAGGCAATTGGTGAAACCTCACTTCACAGAAACTGCCCAGAAGTTCCCTTAATACCTGAGGAGGTACCAAAGGACCCCTTTTTACTCTCGTTGCTACCATCCGCCACGTGCATTGCGATGCACACGGAGTCAAGCCCCCTACCGTCCATCCACAGAGGCTCCAAAATAGTCCTACCCCGGACACCCAGTGGGCCCTTTGTGTGTTTTTTGTCCATGAACTAGAAGCAAGAATTGCTAACTTTTTCCATAGCAACTGGAAGGTCTGGGGTACTGTATCCGCTGTGTTGCCTCGGACAGCGTTCTTTTTGGTGCCTCTGGCGGCTGTTTTGGGCATTCAACTATTGTGTGGTGTGTTGGTCTTTGGGTCTTTTGGCCTTTCACGTTCTACCCGCCATCAAGGTCTTTCTTGGGTTGGAACCCAATCCAACCCACACCATGCCAGACTTAACTTGTTTCTTGATTTGTTCAGAAGGTCAGGGTACCCTTGTTTTGATTTGTAAAGGGGTATCCAGACTGCCAAGACTTCAAGAGGGAAAACCGCATTATTCGTTATGTTTTATTCATTTTTGGGGGTCCCCCAAAAATCGACACCCTTTTGGCGTTTCCCTTACCAGCTGCAAGCGGTCACTCTGTCGAAGTCTGGCCACGCTTGATTCACAGATCCAGCTGGCGATTTCACCCCTCGATTTGTTTCCTTCTCAGGTCCGCGGGGCCTCGGCTCCGGCGTGACGAGAAGGGAGGTGCAGGAGCGTCGGATGGGCGGAGCGACTCTGTTTTCGGAGTGTTCCCTGGTCTTCCATTTTGCTTAAAGATGTCGTTTTTCATCTTCCCTTGTTGGCTTTAAAGGTAATCTATTCCCTGGGTCTTGCCCTTGTTTTTCCAGGGACGGAAGCAAATGGAGGTAGTGCTTCCAGCTTCAGGGGCCCGGGATTGCTAAGCCGAAACGAGGGAATTGTACCATTTGTCGCCGAACTGTAGCCGTGCAAGGGAAACCATGATGTAAAATCTACAGGTAAGGACAAAAGTGGTAGTTGTCTTCATTGTTTTTTTAGTCAAAGGGAGTTTAGGTGATTTGCTGGGTCCCCGCCCAAAATCGAAAGCCAACAAGGGAATCATCACACAAACACACACTCATGTTCACAGCGTTGCTGGGCAGGCCGCACATTTTCTCATTCAGAGACACCAAGGAACTGAGAGCACAGGATGCCCCTCACAAGCACCTGTTCAACTCCCTCTAACCCTTTACTTTAAACATGGGAAATCGCTCTGGAGGGCCCCGACATTCAAGCAGCCCTAGACCCCGACTGAAAAGGCAGCATTCGTCCAATGGCCAAGAACCCACACTCGAGCAATCCCACATCCACAGGGGGGTGGGGGGGTGGTTTGCAGGCCTGGAGCATATATGGGGCAGTGTCCTATGTTCAAGGGTAGTTTCAGGATGAATCTGCAATTCCTCCAGTTCCATATGAGGAGCCCGCGCGAGCTGCCCCCGCGCCGGCACCCACCCCCGCGCCGGTGCGGTCGCCGGCGCCGGCACCAACCCCTGCGCCAGTGCGATCGCCGGCGCCGGTGCCGGCACCAGAGAGACTAGAGTCAGGGCAGGTGGAAGTGGACCGGATCGTGTCGGGTCCTCAGTCGTGCTGCATAACGGGTTTGCTGGTTGGGGACACATTCGGGGCGCTTCATTGGCCGCCGGGCTAGTTGCACGTCACACATCCCCCGGGTTTTTGGAAGCCATCTTCTGAGTGGGATCCCTCAGACAAGGATATTTTCAGAAATCGGGGAACTGCGAAATGTGTCTTGTTTCTGTTTTTTTTTTTTTAACGCTCAATACGAAATATAGGCGGCTTCAAGTCTGAAGGATCCATTCCATTTGCTTTCGCATATTTGCAATTTTCCCCTTTTCTTAATTTGTCGGAAGACCATCTTAGTGGAAACGAACATTTTGGACTTTTTTGGCCAACCCACTCAGGAAGTGAGTTGTGGTTTTAAATACATCTATGATTGTACTACTGGAAATTGGTTTTCGCCAGGGGATGAAAAGCGTAAATTGCAGGTTTCCGTGCCACACGTCCTTGGGTCCCATTTCATTCGACTGTCCCTCTGGCTGCTCGGGAGGAAGCCCGATTTTCCAAATTTTCGGGCACCCCCCTCCACAAGGGTACCGCTTTAAGCCTGAAGGAGCCAGCATGCCCAGCCTGCAGAGCAGGCTGAAATCCAAGAGAGTTCTGCACCTGAAAGGTGCTTGAGTGTTGGCACTTGGTGTGTTGGTTTTGGTTTTGGCAGATTCGGCAAATTGCTGATTTCCGGTTGTTTGTTTATCAGAGGCTGATGCCATTGCTGGGATCGCCAGTGTTCTTGTTTGGCTTTTCTAAGGTTCACTGGTTGGGTAAATCTTGGACGAACCAGCAAAACCTCAGGGTCCCGTTTTGGCCCGGAGTCTAAACATCACCTGGACCCACAAGCCAACACAAGTTGGGTTCGCCCCAAATTTGTGGTTGGTGATTTCCCAATTTTAGCCCCACCAGTTGTGGCCTGGTGATTCCCCATTTTGAGACTGGGTCGGTTTTTTCTCCGAGTCCAGGCGTGCATTTTTCCTTGGTAAAAGCTGCGGCTGCCCTGAGGTCCAAGGATGATTTGGATGACGCCATCGACGTGCTGGAGGCAAGGGACAGGGGCCACCGGGTCTGGGGTCATTATGGGTGTGTGGTCTCTTGAGGGTATATACCCTGTGTTCGCCTGTTCTGAATGCAAACTAGCAGGACAACAACTTTTCATTTTCTTTCTCGGGGGACCGGGGGGGGACTCCCAAAACTTTGAGACAAACCCTTAGGCATTGTGACAGGTCGTAGTGATTGTCCCTTTCAGAAGCAGGAGTTGTTTCCCGTTATTGTGGAATAAATACTCTGGATGGTTGACAGAGCCCTCATTCACTGAGAAACAGCAAGAAAGGGCTACTCCCCCGCAGATTAGCAAAAACCTCAAACCCACTGGTGTTCAGAGGAGTCTCCGTTCGGGAGACACCATGGTTGAAAGTCCATGTGGAGTTGGAGGGGAGCAATCCAAGTCTCGGGTTTAAGTCTTCTTTTGTGTGAAAAAACAAGCACCCTGGCCGGCTGCTCCGGAAAAGGACCTGACCTCCGGAAAAGGACCCGACCTCCGGAAAGGACCTGACTTCCTGCATCCGCCAAAACCTTCAAGTATTTGATGATTGGCCCCTTCAGTGTTTTTTAGTACCACTCTTGATGCTTGGATTTCTTCATCATTTCTTCCTCAATTGATTATCATGTCTTCCTCAATTTCTCATCATTCCTTCCTCAATTTCTCATCATTTCTTCGTCATGTCTTCATCATTTCCAGCACCCTTCATCATGTCTTGTTTTTCAGCCAGCCCCGGTTTTCAGCCCTCGTCCCTTCCGCATGCCGCCTGCCTCGCTCGAGGACGGCCATTTCGAGGAAGCCGAGCTGCTGGCCGGAGAGGCCTTCCCCGGGCGCGCGGGGCACCGGCGGTTGGGCCCGAAAACGGCAGCCTTTGCTTGAAATCGCCGACCAACAAATTGGTTTCAGTATTGGGGGAGTTAATTGCCCCTGACCGATTTGTATGGGTAGCTTGAGGGTCCAGGTAGCCATGAGAATGGGAACTGCAAAGTATGGTTGAGGCATTTCGGGCAAACTGAAAATTTAGTTGGAATTGTCTCAAAGGGACCTGTGTCGATATCATGCTGCATTGCAAGGTTGACTGTGGATCGGAGTACAAGCATGACATGTTTCCTTGGCAAATGCTGAGATAGATCCGGTCTCGTTTGCCCCAAAAGATCGACACACCCGTTTGGGGAAGCGGGAAGAGGCTTCCTGAGGCTGTCCAAAGCCAGTCCAGTCTCAGACTGTCGATGTCTCATGCATCAATGTCACATGCGATGTCTACAGTCATGTCCACTACAAGGGATTCTCCCATCATCTCCTGAGGTACCATTTCCACTGGCCCCGGAAATTAAAAAGGGATTTGAGCAAGTCCACAGTTCACCAGGTCACTGACCAGCGTAGAATGAGCGATTGCACCCCATGCAGGTTCGTAAAGAGTTCCCTTGTTTCCAGATGTGATATACAACAAGTTGTCCAGATGTTGTGCTTTTGAATGAAGGCCTCCGCCTTTGTGGATTCGTGGATTTGGGTTCATGGTTCGCCTTTGGCGCCCAGAGAGATTTCTGACACTTCTGTAGGTCCCTTCATTCTTCATTTTTTGGTTTGGGTAAACTCCATCTGGTAGCTTGTAACCAAGGTTACAAATGGGATGTCTAGGGTTAGTCCCCTTATAACCATGGTTGGGTTGAACAAGCTTAGGTTCCTGAGTCAATATACCTGGGGCAGGGTGGTTGCTGCGGATTTGGAGCAGATTTTTCATCTTCGAAAAGGTTCCTGGGCAACTCATCGACGAACCCTGGGGCCCTGGGTGTCTCTGCCGTTTCTCAATTTCACCGACCTGGGTTCCACGAAGCCATGTCCATCCTTCATCTCAGTTGATTTCCCTCACCAACTGGGCCGGGTCTCTTGGGTATCCTTTTGCCGGTGAGGAGCCACGGGAAACACCCTTACCGTCAGGGTCCTTGAGGCAAGCAGCCATGTTCCTGGCCAGGGTCCTTGAGGCACCCGTTGAGTTGATGGTTTGAGGGGCCAAAAGGCTGGGGGGGGGGGGGGGTTTTGGGTATCGTAGGTACCTACCAAGGGACCCGAATTTTGGGTGGGTTTTATGGGGTGGGATTCGGCTCTCGGCCAGGTCCGGACACAAGCCGTGAGAAGCTCAGCATCTTCTTACGCCGTGAATAAAAAATAAAATAGGGCACCCTCAAAAGTGTCAGAAGTGGGTCGACAACTGTTTGTCTAGGGTCCGGGACCCGAAAGCAAAGAAGTCACACCCATGTTGCCTTGTCTTCGCCCCACCCACTTCAACCCAGCGTGTATTGAATTGGTGGTTTGGATTGGTGGTTGAGGACAAGGTGCGAGAGCAGTTGGTGCGGGTCAAGCACATCCAAGCAACTGACCTTGCTTTGCTGCCATCCTGGACGACGGTTTTGTGATGACTTGGGGCGATCCTCACTGCGGTGGCGGTGACAGCAGCTGGTGCGCCTAGTGGCTCTGTCGTGACTTGGGGTGTATCTGACTATGGCAGTGACAGCAGCCGAGTGCAAGAACAGCTGGAGCAAGCACAACAAATTCAAGCAAGTCAGCGTGCTTTTGCTGCCATCCTGGACGGCGGCTCTGTGGTGACTTGCAGGCATTCGAACTTTAGCGGTAACAACAGCCAGGCGCGAGAGCAGTTGTTTGGGTTCCAGTAAGCCACTGCCTATGCTTTTGCTGTATTGAGGCCACCCTGGTTGTGGCGGTGACAGTAGCCAGGTGCAAGAGAAGCTGCCGTTTGCTGCCGTCCTGGACGACTCTTTGGTGACATGGCCCGGCGGTGACAGCAACCTCGAATTGGAATGGCTGGCTATGTGTTCAGCTGGATGAGCCGTGAGTTGTTTGTTTCAGCAACGATGACCTTGGTGTCCAGCGCGTTTCAGTGGGCTCCACCTCCGCTTTCCGAGGCCCGCGAGGGGGACGCGGAGCGCGAGGCGGACGCCTTGCGGGTGGTGACCAAGGCCGAGACTCGCCCGTTGGACCCCGCGTCTTTGCTTTTGGCCATTTTTGACTTAAGATTTTGGAGGAAATTCGATCTGAATACTTGATAAACCACACATTTGCTCCTGGACTAAAGTTGGTGCTGATAAGTAACCAAGAGACTCATTCTCCTGGTTTAGGCCTGTATGTTACTGATTGATAAACTGTAAATCCCAACTGGAGCGAAATGGATTCCGTGCGTCCAGCATGTGAATCTTCAAATGTGGTGTCTCAGTGCTTTCCCTTGCGCTCGCTCCTGAAAAGGGTAGTACCCGCAACAGCCGCTATTCTGTCCAAGAGCTAAAAGTAAATGAACAAGCACCTGGCTTGAGCTGCGGTATTGTCGGCTTCATATAAGAACGTTCGGTTCCTCTGGTTTTGCCGGTCAAACCCGGTTTTCGGTCTCCCATCGGTGGTCAAAATCGAACTAACAGTTCTAGTAGCCATGACTGGTGGTTTTTCAGGCCCCTCAACCTTAGCTCTTCAAGCCCTCGAGCTTTTCACGGCGAACCCGGGGCGCTAGGCCCAGATCAAAGAAGCCGAGAGCCGGGGCTTCGAAGGCCTGCCGGACGTGGAGGCGCGAGGGTCGATCGATTCGGTACGTCAGATAAGTGGTTCGTAACATGGTTGTTGGGAGATATTTTGCAATTTTGCTTGTTATGGTTTAGTGGGAAATCCCCACTTGACTGCTACAATTTGACTTGCGGAGACTTATAACCATGGCCTTTGGAGGGTTACCAACCGTGGCGGAAAAGATGTTGAATCCTGGCTATAGGGTTGATCGTGGACTTTGCTAAAGTCTGAGGATCCTATAAGGGTGCCTGGAACCTCGGAAATTTGGTGAATTCAACCGTTTTCAATTGTTTGAGGGTCCACGAACTTTTGAGGCTGGTCTGAAGGGCTTATTTTTGGGTCAACGTAGTTGCTTCGACCCTGAGGGAAAAACTAGGGTCTGGGCTTTCATCTTGAAGACTCGTGCAGTCCATCATTCCAGTTGCTGCATATATACAAATACAAATGTTTCTTGCAGGCCCAGAAAACCCCAGGCAAGCCACTTGTGGTAACCATTCGGGTGTTTTTTGCGTGTTGCTGTCGGATGGAACAAACTCAGTTCCCTATACATAGAACAATGCATGCAATTGCTCATTTCCTGACATGTGGTCTGCATTGTATCAAGTTTTCGGCATACGCTCGCCAAAACTCCTTTGGACTACTCAAAGTAAATAAACATTAAAAAACAACAAAAAAACGGTACCCTCTGAAACACACCCAACTATGGTATCGTGAGCAACAATGAGTTAGCACAAGAACTCCCCAACTGTGGAGGTCGCACCCATTTCGTTGTTGAAAACCACATGCGTGCTATCTCTACCTGATCGCCTGTTGGATGGGTATGCAAACTGATTGGTACTCACACCACCCAGTCCCAACATGACTATTAGTTTCAGAAAAGCCCTTCACTCGACGATTCCAAGTAGCGCTTCGTTAGAAAGCGGGGTGTGTACAGGACTGGACCCCTTTCCATGGCTCAAGAGGACTTGTGGAATTCCGGGAACGTTTGGGACCCGACTCGGAAATCGAAGGATCCCAGACCCTGAAATGCCTGAAATGGCTCCAGGTGGAGGGCCCCTCAGATCCTCAAGGGAAACCAATTTAAACATGTCGCTTGGCAGTCTCCCATGAGGATAGAGGCAGCTGAGTTGGGTGAAACTCATCGAATGTTTCCCTCTGGGGTACCCCTGAGTGGCTTCCCGAAATTCAGCGCTCCCTTTCGGTCGCTGAACAAACAGCAGTTGTGAGGAAACTTCGGATCTTCTGTTGCCCTTCGGAGTGGCTTCCCCGCGAAAACAGAACAAAAACAAAAAACGACGACAACCAGAAAGGGTGCCCCTTGTTTACCCAGTTGCCCAGTGTCTTCTTTTTTTTTGAACTTTTGTGTGGAAAGGGTTCCCCTGCAAAACCAACCAAAACAAACTCGGATGCCCTTTGATTCCCATGGAAATCCACTGGGCATCTGAGTTTCTCATGGCAACTGGGGAAAGATCTTTTCACACCCCAGATAGGCTCTGGAGGGCGCACTCAAGGCGGGCGAGAGGGAGCGACTTGCAGTCCGAAGTTGGTGTTTTCCATGGCTGATTGTATGGGCTGATAATCGAATCTTGTCTTTCAAGAGGTGACACTTGCGAGTGACGTGGTTCCATTTACAGAGACCTTCTGGCAGCTTCCGGCTGTTAGTCTGAGGGAGTGTAACTCATAACTTACAGGTGTCTCAGGGCGTCCTTGCCTGCTTGCGGCTGATATGGACTCATATCTGAACCCATGGGCAATTTGGAGCCGCGCTTGAGCCATAGTCACAGACCGCGAGCCTGGAGGGTACTTCCAGGGGTTCACCGCTTCGGAGTCAAAACGAGACTTGGGGAGCGGGGACAACCCCGCTGTACACCATGTTTCGTCCTTTTGGCGAACTCGGCGAGCACTTGGAGGAGTAACCCTGCTTACAACTGTTCGCCCTGGACGGAAAAGCATCGCACACCGGGCGCAACTCCCCTCAATGGTGATCCGGTCCAGGATCCCTTTCACAAAACATGGGACACCCCATCAACCAACCGGGGTTTATCATTCCTGGGTTCGCAGTTCAATAGTTATAAGTTATGAGCCCTTTCAAGTGGGCTACAACAAAGGGTGCTATCATTTTGTCCCTTTGACATAGCCAAGGCATTGTTGGTACTTGGCGCATTTGTTTGGACTTCTTTGGACTCCCATGAGCACACTTTTTGGACTCAATGTACTCAGTGTTTCATCGGTTTCATCAATAGGCGTTACGTCAAGCACCGGTCAACCGGAACCCTCAGAGGGGAAACCTGCTTGTGACAAGCTTGTTGCAG